GGGATGGATGGGTGAATGGATAGGAAGGTGGGTGGAGGGGTGGATGGATGGGTGGGATGGATGGGTGAGTGGATGGATGAATATACAGCATAGGTCCTGGCACAGGGTAAGCACCCAAATCTGTTAGAAACTGTGAAAGTTTGACCCATCTCAAAGTCCAGGGAGAGAGAAAAGTGTTGAGAAGCTGACATTGTAACATTCCAATAAAAGGAAAATTGCTCAGCTATCGCTTACAAAGCACTCCATGTGTGCCAGGCACTGTGAAGGCCTTTCTTACATATTCTCATTTAATCTTCCTGACAACCCTGTGAGGCAGGTGCTATTATGAGGTCCATTTCACTGGTGAGAAAACAGACAGGTGAAGGAATCTGGGCATGGTCACACAGAAAACAAAGAGCAGAAGTGGGCTGCCACTCAGATTTGGCTAGTCCCAAAGCCACTGATTTTTTCCCCCATGGTCCCTAGTATGTAATTTACCTCTGGGTCTGTGTAGATTTCCGGGTCTTTCTGGGGACTCAGGAAGGGAAAGAGGAGGAGGCGGTCTCCACGTCTCAGGCTGAATTCCCGCCCGTCTGCCATGGGCAGGGCCAGGTCCACCACAACCTCCCGGGTAATGAAGGGCGCAGCGGTGAGCCTGAGGCTCTCACTCAGCACGCTATCTGCACAGGCAGGTACCAGGAAGGGTCAGCAGCTGTCCCCTCACACACTAAAATGCCAGCCCCAACTCTCATTTTATAGAGGAAGGTGAGCAGGCTCAGAGAGGGTATGTAACTTGCCCACCATCACACAGTGAGGCCACAAAAGGCCAAGTGATGAGATACGATTACTATGGTCCTCAGACCTTGGATGTGAGAGTTTGAGTCTGACTCTAGAAGCTGTGAGGGACTACGGGAGCCAGGGAGATATCAGAAGAGACTACGGGGGAGCAGGGCCATCGATATTGGTTGTTTCTGTCTGCCCAGCTAACATTTCCCATCTGGAAATAGTTCCCTGGTTTTCTTCTGGGGATCACCCCTCTCCCACTCTCAGAGGTTGGGCTGTTTGTTGACTTCACTCCCAATTCCATGGGCTCTGTGTGATTGGCCAATCCAAGCATCCCAACCTTTTGAACCCCATAATTGGTTCAAGGTGGACATATAACTCAAAGAAAACCAATAAGACACATTCCTGGGACTTTGGGTAGGAATGTTGCAGAGAAGCGCACCCTCCCTGGGCTGACAGCGTATCAGCCTGGACCTGCTGGTGGCCATCCTGCGGGCCTGGAACTGGAGCCAACCCAGCAGAGCAGGGCTGAGAGAGCGAGTACTGAGTCCTGATGATGTTGTTAAAGCACCTGGGTCCACCTGTGCCTGAAGCTAGATATCCTCTGAACTTTCTAGTTAATGCCCTCAAAAAAAGTCATTTTTCTGCTTCAGCCAGTTTAAGTGAGGTTTTCTGCCGATGGCAACCGCAAATCTACTGAGTCCACGAGTCCTGGGCAGCTGAGACAGGGGCATAGAGATGCCAGGTCTAAGAAGATAGGAGGTCTAGGGAGACCCTAGGTCAGAGGATGCCAAAGGACCCTGGACTTGTGGAAGCCCATGCTGGGAAGGACTTAGGGTGCCCACGATGACTCAGTCTTTGGGGCTAATTTGGAGAGTCTGCCTCTCTCACCGAGCACAGGCATGCTGTCCAAAACCTTCTGGGGGATGGTGGTCATCTGCGAAATGGGCTGCTCCGCTCTGGAGAGGAGCTGCTCGAGCTCTCCACGGACAGCCGCCAGGGCCTCGGGATTCTTGAGGAGGAAGAGCAGAAGCCAGAAGGCAGCAGGACCCATATTCCCCTGCAATGAGAAGGAGCCCCTGTTATACCACCAAGAAGGCAGGCCTGGGGCGAGAGCTGATCGGTCTGTGCCACAGACACAGCCCGGGCCAAGGCACAGAGGTTCCCACGGCTGCCAAACATCTAGGCATGACTCATGTTTATCTTCAGCTCAGGCCATGGCCCAAATGTGCTCTGGGGCTTTGGTGTAGCCCAATGCCTATTTCAGGGCTATTCTTGGCATCCCCGACCTTGAGCAAACTCATTGATCTGAGCTCGCACAGGTAATCTTCATAGCGAATCGGCAAAGAAGGGTCAGAAGTAGGAACAAGGTGTATCAGTTAAGATTATGGTTAACATCTGAGGGTAACTGCATCCTTAGCCCCAATTCTCCACCCTTCCCTGTATCCACGCCCCTCACCGTGGACTTGGCACTCCCTCCCATCTCAGAGGCAGAGGGTACTTCCCCAGCCCCGTGAATCTCTTAAGAGACCTTGTGTGTTTCCACCTGCCCGGCTGGCTTGCTGGTCCCACGAGGAGGACGCGAGACACACAGGGCAGAGCTGGCTGTCCAGCTGCGCCCAGTGTAGCGCAGCTGACTCCCAGCAGACCCACAGACCCATGAGGTAAATAAACGCCCCTCAGTGTGTGCCACTGCGTTTTTGTGGTTGGCTGGTCTACAGCAATAGCAAACTGATGTGACATCTGGACATCTACTTTCAAATAACTGAGTACTGTGTATGTATGAAACAAAGAAGCCATAATCAATGGGGACTGTGAGAGCTCATAATTTCTTGAAAAAAATTACATAAAAATCCCCAATAGTTCAGTAATTAGGAAAATGGATAGAATTTCTTGCTCCCAGACTTCAGCCTTAGCTGAACTGTTTTAATATTCAGGTATCTAGCATGTGGCTAAACCGTGTGTGGGGTTCCCTGAAATGAGCTCCAGGCATGGGTGGAATACCAACTCACCTCGACTGGGGGGGAAGAGTTTTGTCCACCAGCCAGTCTTGATGATGTTAAGAGTCATTACATATCATATTTCCCCAGTAACTCTATTACAGACATAATCGCGCACAGACAAAAGGACATTTGCACAAGGATATTGATCGCAGGGCCGACGTAACAACAAAAGATTGGAAGCAATCTCAATGTCTATCAATAGATCAATGAGATACAGGATGATCCCTCCTCAGGATGATGATACAGGAAGTCGTTAAAAGGCAGTGACTGTGCAGCTGTGTGTGTGCTGACGGGACTGTAGCCAAGATGCAGGAAGCACGACGTGGAACAGGGGTTCACCGTGCTCCCACTTACATGTACTTTTCAAGAGGGATCATATGAGGAAGCACAGACCAGCTCTTGAAGGAGCCTCTGGGACAGAAGCTGGAAGGACAGGGGGTGGGTACTGATTTGCACTGCGTATGTCTTTTTAAACTGTTTGACTTTTTTTAATGGACGCAGTACTTTTTTTTTTTTAAGATTTATTTATTTTTAGAGAGAGAGAGTGGGGAGGGGCAGAGGCTGAGGTACAGAGAGAATCCTCAAGCAATCTCCCCATTGAGCACAGATCCCGACACAGGGCTCGATCTCACGACCCTGAGATCATGACCTGAGCCGAAGGCAGACGCTTAACCATCTGAGCCACCCAGGTGCCCAAGATGTCTCAATTCTTCTGCATGTTGATTTTATATCCTTCTACTTTGTTAGAGTCTTTTTTGTTTGAGTTAGTTTTACCATGGATTTCCTGGGGTTTTCCCAGCATAGCGTCAGATCTTCTGCAAACAGGGAGAGTTTTACCTCTTCTTTACCCATTCTTATAACCAGTAGTTGATTTCTCTTATCTAATTGCATTGGCTGACACCACTAGAAGATGTTTGTATTGACAGGGAAGAATACACAGCTATAGTGGTAGGTTAAAAAAAAAAAATTGAATTGCAGACAATAGATATAATCCCTTTCTAAAATACACAGTGACACTCTGAATATGTATATTTGTCTCTATCTGTAAAATACACTATTCCTATAAAACAGTGTGAAGGGATATATACCAGCATGTTAACATTGGTTTCCACAGGAAGCTGGGCTTGGGAGAGTATTATTACTCTTACTGTCTACGTCTTTGAATTGTTAGCCACAAGAATGTTTCTTTCTTTTTTTTTTTTTAAAGATTTTATTTATTTGAGAGAGACAGAGAGAGCATGAGCGGGGTAGGGCGAGAGGGACAAGCAGACTCCCTACTGAACCCAACACGGGGCTCCATCCCAGGACCTGAGCTGAAGTCAGATGCTTAACTGACTCAGTCACCCAGGTGCCCCGAGAATGTTTTTCTTAATTT